TTCCTGCTATGATAAATATCTTCATCTCCAATCTGTCCCGTTTCCTAACTCCTCTCCCTTCCCTACCATTCGCTAACACATTTGGCCTCTCCACCTTCTATTCCATTCCTGCAAGAACATGGCGAGTTTCTTCTGCAGGTCCCTACCGATTGATCCTTCTCATTCAACGTCCTACGAAGACCGAAGACACCCCTCATTTGAGCAATCCTGAAGAAGGGCTTTTCAACAGCCTTGTACACAAGGTAACCCAAGCTTTCCAAAAGCAGCAGAGCAAGCAAATGAAGATCAAGGGGACTTCATCCTAGATGGTGATGATCTAGAATGGTCCCATCTTCCTCAGAAGCCAGGTCCCAAAGCCTGATCCACCCCTCCGAAGGATCTCTTCCTATTTCTTCTTTCTCTAAGCACAAAAGTAAGAAAAAAGAAATCCGAATCCACCAAAATTGTTTCTACAGATTGCAGCAGGTCCTTAGCCATGTCCTCTCCATCTCCCTCATGAATGTGTTGAGTTGGAATTGTAGAGGGGCTCACAAATGTGATTGCCTCAATCATTTGTTGTATTTAATTAAATCCATGTATATTAGTCATGTTGTACTTCTAGAGACTCACTTGAACATGGAGGCCAGCCAGAAATTCATAAGCAGACTCAGCCGTGACTGGGAGGGAGCAGCTTCTCTAGCCCGCGGTAGATCAGGACGTATAATTGTTGCTTGGAAACTTGACAAACTAAGAGCAGGCACTGTGAGTATGGATCCCAAATTATGCACTTCTTACTGGAAGAACAAGGTAAATCTTTGTGGCTCCTCTCTGCTATTTACGCCAGTCCTATTCCTAGTTTACACAACTCGCTTTGGTCTGGTCTTTCATCGCTTGATTTGGATTCTTTACCTTGGTTTCTTTGTGGAGATTTCAATTGTATTGTCCACCCCAAGGAAAGGAAGGGGAGCAGGCCATTTCAATTAAATAATTCAATTACTTCTTTCCGTGATTTTATGTTCACTTGCAATCTTTCTTATTTGGGTTTTCATGGTTCGAACTTTACTTGGTCCAATAATCGGATTGGTAACTCTCGAGTTTCTGTTGGAGTTGGACTTGACAAAGCACTTGCTAATATGTCATGGTTAGACATCAACCCTTTTGCTTTTGTTTTCTATCTAAGACACCTTTTATTGGGTCATTGCCCTCTTTTGATCTGCACCAATTCTTACTCTGGCCCCAAGCCAACTAAATCACTTATTTTCGAGCCTTATTGGGCAGATTACCCTGAGCTTAGGTCCGTGTTAAACGATTCTTGGTGCAATCCTAGTCTCCCCACCATATCCTTGTTTAATCTTCATGAGAGATTGAACAGCCTTGGTCCTGACATCTCCAATGGAGTCAGTACAGTGCTGGGAACATCGAAACTAAACTCAAGAACACCTTAGCCACTATCACTGACCTTGAATCTCGAAACAAGTCCCATCCTCTGAATGAGAGAGACCTAATTGAACTCCAAATTCTCACCGACAAGAGCATGGCACTCTCAGTCTCAGGTGCACCTTAAATGTGGACCAAGGCCAAAACCAATTGGATCAAGAACAATGACAAGAATACCAAATATTTTCATTCCCTTGTCAAGCACAGAAGATGTAAAAATCTCATTCACTCGATTAAACTTAACTCTGGTGACATCATCACCAAGCTTGAAGACATTAGTTCATGCTTCCTTCATTGGTATTCAAATCTATGGGCAGTCAATTTGGATAACTCAAATCCCAATCATGACCAATTGGCTTCAATTTCAAAAAATTCCTGATTCCAACCATGACTCTATCACGACATCTTTCACCACATCTGAGACACATGGTGCACTTCTGTGGGACTTGGTAAAAGTCTTGTGCTTGATGGGTTCACTATTGAATTTTTCAAACATTATTGGGACTTGCTTGCCTCTTCTATCACTAAAGCATTCAATGACTTTCAATCTTCTGCCTCCTAGTTGGAACAAAACCAATCTAATCTTCATCCCTAAAAAGTCCAATACAAAAGCCATCACGAACTACAAACCTATTGCTCTATGTATTGTTCTCTACTAGATTCTTACCAAAACTCTTGCTAATAGAATCAGAAATATCCTTCCCAATATCATTAACAGATTCAGCCTTCCTTCTGGGTCGTTCCATACACGATAGCATTGTTGTGGCTCATGAGTTAGCTCACGCAATGTACAACTCCAAAGGTCGTAATTCTTTGATTTTGCTCAAGATTGACCTATCTAAAGCCTTTGATTCTATCTTCTGGGATGGCATCCTTTTTGCCATGTCCAAAATGAATTTTCCATCTAAATTTACCGATTGGGTTAAAGCATGCATCTCATCTCCGAGTTACTCTTGTCTAATCAACGATTTCCATACCGATTGGCTCAAGAGTCACCATGGAATTCGTAAGGCCAACCCCACATCCCCTCTACTCTTTATTATATAACTCAACAAATCTTTTCTGGTATACTAAATGATTTGTCGGCCAACGGTCATATTCCTCCTTTCAATATCAAAGGTGTAAAGCTCACATATTTGATGTTTGCAGATGACATCATTATAACCTTTAGAACTATTGATAAATCCTGCCTTTAGAACTAATTTTCCATCTAAATTTACTAATTGGGTTAAAGCATGCATCTCATTTCCGAGTTTCTCTTGTCTAATCAACGATTTCCATACTGATTGGTTCAAGAGTCATCATGGCATTCGTGAGGCCAGCCCCATATCCCCTCTACTCTTTATTATAAGTTTATAACTCAACAAATCCTTTCTCGTATACTAAATGATCTGTTGGCCAACGGTCATATTACTCCTTTCAATATCAAAGGTGTAAAGCTCACATATTTGATGTTTGCAGATGACATCATTATAACCTTTAGAACCATTGATAAATCCCGCCTTTAGAACTAATTTTCCATCTAAATTTACCAAATGGGTTAAAGCATGCATCTCATCTCCAAGTTTCTCTTGTCTAATCAACGATTTCCATACTGATTGGTTCAAGAGTCATCATGGCATTCGTAAGGACAACCCCATATCCCCTCTACTCTTTATTATAACTCAGCAAATCCTTTCTCGTATACTAAATGATTTGTCAGCCAACGGTCATATTACTCCTTTCAGTATCAAAGGTGTAAAGCTCACATATTTGATGTTTTCCGATGACATCATTATAGCCTTTAGAACTATTGATAAATCCTGCCTTAATGTTATTAATGCCCTCAACACATTCTAGAATCACAGGCCTTCAGGTTAACACTAAAACATCCAGCATATATTTTTTTGAAAAATTGCAATGTCTACATTAGGCATCATGTCAAAAACCTTCTCAACATCGGTGAGGGCAGTTGGCCCATCAACTATCTAGGTACTTGCATCAGCCACGCCAGACTCACTGAGGTGCACCAAGACATCATTATTAACAAATGCCTCAACAAAAATACAAGGATGGAAAAAAGACCTTATCTCTCAAGCTGGGAAAACCACCCTTATCAACTCGATTGTTAATGTCATCCGTCTTCATACCTTCATGAACACTTGGGTATCTGACAAAAATATTAATAGAATCATTACCATTTCTAGAAAATTCTTTCAGAACAACTAACCCAATCACAACAGCCTTTGTCTCATCAACTAGGATTACCAATCATAAGGCTGATGGCGGCCTCAGTCTTCGTGATTTGAAACTTGTCAAAACCATGATTGCTGCTAAACGCATCATCTCTCTACTTAATGATGTTGTTTGTCTTTGGGCCAAAATCTTGTCTACTAAATATGGACATCTTCACCCTTGGAACTCCTCATTACCCAAGAAATCATCTTATGGTTAGAAATCCCTCTACAATCCACTCAATGCCACTAATATCAAATGGTGTTACCACTCATCTCTGGAATGACCCATGGATCATTAATATTCCTTTATCCAAGTGGTCTACCAACATCAACGTCAACTATTTAGATACAGTCACTTCTGTCTAGGACCTTCTTGAACACAACTCATGGAATGCCCAACTCATTCATCACATTTTCTCTATTGACATTGCCACCTCCATTCTTAATATTTTTCTTCCAGCCATCCCAAGTGATGACAATTGACCCCCCATCCCCTCAGACATATTTCTGCTCGTAGTGCTTATGCCTATCTAAAAGACATCCCTAGAAAAATGGACAATGGATGGAAGGGCTGGAAGGTGATGTGGGCATTTCTGATACTCCCTAGGATTAAAAACTTCCTATGGAAGCTTCAGAAATGTCTATCCACCTCCAAATGGACATCCCACTTTCTCCATATTTACATTTTCACAAGTCCGGTTTGCCAATCCAGCCAAGACTCAATCAAGCATATCTTCTTTGATTGTCTTCACAAAAAATCTCTGGTAAAGCCCAAACATCTCATCCTCTTAATTTCTTCAACAACTTGATTCATGGTTCTTGGCTTTACAAAGGAGAAGATTTAGATCCTCACTCGACTTCTCTCTTTTGCTCTCTTCTAGCAAATTGTCTTTGGCTTTTATGGAAGCATCGTAATGAATTGCAAACATCGTAACCAACACCTTCAACCCACCAATATATCGGTCAGTGCACTTGGCTTAACCAATGATGCCCCAATTACTATCCCAAAACCTGAGGGATAAGGAAAAAATTTTCCTTCCCCCATTCCCACACAAACAACTAATCAACACTCATACTCTCTCTTCTGTGATGGCTCTTACTCTCCTATGTCTTCTTTTACAGGGGCAAGATACGTCATCTTTGATCGAGACAACAATATTGTTTTTGCTGGTTGCTGCACCGTAAAAACATCCTCCTCATTAATGGCTGAAACTTGGATGATCTACCAAGGACTAGGTAAAGCTTTGAGCAAGAGTTTATCCTCTCTACAGGTCAAATCAGACTCTATGCAACTCATATAGCTTCTGCAACAACCTGACATCACTCATGGAGGTTCAAAAATATAACTCTAGACATCCTACATCTAGCAAAAGTCATGCATGTTACAGACTGGAACTTTATCCCACGTCAACACAATTTTTTATGCTCATGCTTTAGCAAACTTTGCAAGACAACATTTGACTAATATCTTTTGGAGAAGCATTTCACCTCCAAACATCTTGTATGAGCATTTGATGATTTAAGATAATTCTATTTGAAAAAAAAAACACCTCTATGAACCAATATGTATAAAGTAGTCTATACCAATTCAAACATATACCAATAGACCATACAGGACAGTGCTGATTGATATCTAACATCTTATTATTTTTCTGATGATATCAAGCAATATAAGCAGTCGATATATCACCCTGTATTTAAAACTTGATCATATGCATCTTTTATTAATTAATATAACCCAGAGCACAATACTCCCACCAGCATATGATTGACTTGCTATTTGGTCTTTCTTTGAGGCAAAGATAGGCAAAGCCTGAGCTTCCCTTTTATCAAAAAGACAACATAAATACTAGGACAGAGGGATAAAGAAGAAAAAAAGAAACAAAAAGAGCCATCCAGAAGAGACGTTAGAACAAATCAGACTGATCACCAACCTATTATATATTTTTGTCACATGTTAACCTCCACCAATCATAATTCTAGTTTCCTTGCCCAAAATTTTGTTTAGATCCAACAAAATTCATCAAAAAAAATCTCTCTTTCTTGATTTTTCTAGCTCCTAGAAAGCAAAGGTGAACAATCCATCTAACACATACCTTCCAGAACTTTTTAATCACTTCCTTCTCCAGTCAACCAAAACTTTCCTTGGTTTAAGAGAGATCTTCTATTCTTTTAGGATAATAAAATCTTTTTCTAGAAACTAAACTTCTTTGGGCAGAACATTTTTAAGAGTAAACTACTGAATTTTGACACAATCCAAGGTATTAGGGTCAACAAATTTGGTTATGCCACGATTATTAGTCCTAGCTGCTGGATGGTGTGCAGACATGCAAGAGACCTCCTGGTACAAAAAAATCATCCACACTGTTGCATATTAAATTAATCAAAAACATGAAATTTTGCTTTAGCACAATTAATTTAGTGTTAAAGAATGCATAATAAAATCCTTTTGAAGATGGAAGATACAAATCCAATGATCAACAAAGACTAGTTCAAATGAACATTTTTTTAACAAAAGGAAAAGAATTATAAGAACTGCATAATTTAAATTAATTGGAAAACAGATTATTTGTAAACTACGGAAAACACTAACCTTTTCTTGATGTAAACATGTATAGTTGCAGCAGCATAGAGGATCAGCTGAGAACTTAGAATCAATATCATCACAGATCCATTTGCAACTAAATAGCACAATACAGAAAGAGAGATGTAGCTTGCAATTGGAGGCACATGTTGCCTTGTCAGCAATAGAACAGGCAAAGAAACAAAAACAGGTAACACAGCAAAGATCAGAAAAGGAAGTGGCATCCTCAAATTAAACTCCAAAGCTGACAAAATGGATGGAAGTGATGCATCGAGTTCCCAAGCACGTGCTTGCCGCATCAGAGCAAAAAACACAGCCGCTATCATGAAACCAGTAATCTGCAAAGTCGAGTAGCCTAGTGATCAAGTTTGATATAGAGAAGCATATCCATGGAAGTAAAGCTAGTTTCAAACAAATGAAGAAAGAATGAAAAAAACATGCAGTGAATCAAATTGCGAGCAATATGCACAATACTAGGATATAAGCATGCAGACATAAACACCCTTAGATGGGGAATTGAACCTATTTTAAACCATTTTATCCTTTTTCTTTGATGAAGACGACAAATTTACCTGCAAATGTCAAAAGTGAAATTATTATTTTTTCTGTTTGATAGGTTGAAAAGATCACTAATTAAGATTTCTCATTTTTTTCCTAATTCCTTTTCCTCTCTCCAAATTTTGAAGGTTACTTATTATGTGCGACTTCTATATGGAGATCAAAATTGTAGATTACAAATCAGTAAGCTCAGAAGAAAAGCAGCGAATCACAGAAAACAATCACCTGTGAAGAATATGAAAGACAAAATCTGCTTGCTGCAGCAGTTAAAGAAACAGAAATACCCATTGTATATGAGCAGTGTGGGTCCACCTGCAATAATGTTGATGCAAGATACACCTTAGAACGAACATTTTGATATATATATTCAGAAATCGATTGCAAATCCATGACAATCATCAACAAATATATACTACAAGATAAAAAAGAGCTTTACCAACAAAAATACAATAGTTTTGTCAGACTCTGGACTAGAATCAAACATTGCAGGTGATGAATCTACAGTGATAGTCTCAGTATACATGTTGGGAATGACATGTAGACCAGATACCGAATCCCAAGCCAGGGCAACAGGTGGGAAACAACGAAGTTTGCAAAACCCTGAAATGCTAACAATAAATCAACATGAGTAACTGGAGGACTGAACATTTAAGCAAGCATGTATAGAAAGAAAAAAAATGTTGTGTATATATGAAAAGACAGCATTGCTGCTGGAAGCTGAGACCAACCTCAAACATTCTGACCAATCAAAAATTTCCAATGAGTCTGTCATAACATGTGATAGATGTTAAAAAATTGTAGTTTTTATCTATGAAAAGACAAGGTGCGGCAAGCCAAGACCAACCTCAAACATCCTGACCAATCAAACTATCAAAGTTTCCAATAAGTCTGTCATAACACATGACAGATGTTAAAAAATTGTAGTTTTTATATTTCATGTTGCCTCTATATGTTCCCACCCTAACCATGGGGAATCTCAATAACAAGTCTAGCAACCCATTATTCCGATGTGTATATGTCCATGGTGATGTATATTTGATTAAAAATGTGTGATACAATTTTCATTGATCTACTCATAAAAAAAATCAGGTTTCATAAACATAAATCTTAATCGATTTCAATATTATTTTTGCAGAGTCTAATGGTAGCAAAGGATCTAGCCAATCCCAAATAATTGGGACATTACGGTTTTATTATTGTTGTTGTCCTTGTCAAAAATGTAATATTTCACTTCTCCATGTCTTAGTCCTTTTATTCCCATTTAATGCTTCATACTATATTGGCACATAATTCCTCCTTAGTAGAATCTCCAATCATCCTTTCGTAGATACAAAACTGGTCTTGTGACACCATGATATGTTCAGTTGCCATAATTTTAAAAACATGAAAAGAAGCTTTTTTCCATCACTAGTGCAACACAAGATTAAATTTGATTTCTCCATCTATTGGTTGACTTGAATGTAATAAGATGATTTTTGCATTAACTTCCCAGTAGTTTTACAATTGGTTTTGAAGGTAGGTGAACATATGAGAATGCTCACACAACTGATGTATGGATCCACACATAAGCCTTACATATCAGGTCTATGAGAGACCACATTAATCCTGAAAATTTTCAAGGGTGATCTGATCCCCATAATATCCAGTACCTGAATGGAATTTATGCTCATGTATCCTACCAAGATGTAAATTATGTCAATGAGATTATTAAGTCATTAGGAATTAATTATTTGGGAATCTAGGGGTCAGTTTCAGAAGAATGTAATGGGATTACAGTTTCCATAGAAACATGTTATTTCAATTTTTCAATAGACATGAGACATTAAAGTTCAGATTATTTCTATATTATATATCACAACAGCAATCACCTTTAGATCATTCAAGTGTAGTAAGGCAGATCATTTCACGTCCAAACAATAATTAGTTCTACATTAACTGCTTTGTTCTTGTGATGATTAATGAGGCGCAAGTAACTAACTCCTAAGGATATTTATTAGAGCCATATTCTTTAAGACAATCTATATAATTTTGATTTTATCAGACTAGCTTGACATATTACACTTGTGTACTTGGAATTGCTTCATCAATTTCTTGATACTAAATTTCCATATATAGTCAACTTGTCATTTTTGCAGTTTTGCATTTCAAGTAGTATCATGGAATAGCGTTTGCCACGCCGATAACCTCATACAATGCACAATTTGATAGTTATATGTCAGCAGCAACTCTGAGTTGGCACAGCAAGCACCAATACCTTTCTACCGAGGTACATTTTGAATGTGTTGATTGGTTTTATCATTTACGATACCTATTCTTGCCAATATTTAGTCTGTGCAACCAATTTATTCAAACTTTCTTTTCCAGTGTTTACTAGCCTTTGAGTTCTTCATTTGAGGTTCCTTGTCACCCATGCAAAATCTTATGACAATTCTCCAAGGTTCCTTCTCACCAATTTTGAATGTATTGATTGGTTTTATGATACCTTGTCTTGCCACTATTTAGTTTGTGCAACCAATTTCTTCATACTTTCTTTTCCAATGTTTACTAGCCTTTGATTTCTTCATTTGAGGTTCCTTGTCACCCATGCAAAATCTTATGACAATTCTCCAAGGATTTTGGCAAATAGGCCCCTCAAAGTTTTGACAAGCATACCCATCATTCTAACTTATTTGATTAATGCATGCAACAAAGATTATATTACCTACCTCACTTATCTTTAGAGAAAAAGATCAATAAGCTCTCTCATGCCAGATCTAACATTATGCTTCATCTTTGCTGTCATTTTATATGGTACCCATCCAATGCTCTTTACATCAACCACAGATTCTAAACTCTTAAAGTCCAACATTTCAAATATAAATACACATTGACAAGTGGGAAACAATATGCAATTAGGATTTAGGACGTTAAGAACTAAAAAGAGAGAAATCATTTATAGTTAGAAAAGTTAAAATCTTCAGAATTCAAACATTAAACATGATTGGAAGAAACAAGGAAAAGGAAGGATCAAATAGAGCTTACTGCTTTGCTCATCATCTCCAGTTTGTTCAGCAGTAGACTTTATCCCACAACCAGTTGTCTTTAGAGACAAAATAGTTGGCAAAAGACCAAGGCTTATGGAGAACGACAAATTGAAAGCAAGTGGATGATCCTCCTTAAGCAACATTTCCTGCAACCACCCGGAAAATGATTAAGGTTTTTACTTAAATGGAAAAGAATGAACATCTTAAGTACCACATCTATATAATATGTAAGTGAACCAAAAACCTACAAATAACTTTTTAAGCATGAACCTCTTGCACATAGCTAGACCGAAGAAGCATAGCAGCAGAAAATTTTCTCTCTCCTTCCTCAGGGTTGAAGAATTGTCCAACTGCCATAGAAGCAGCAGGCGGAGGCCTACCTGAAACAGTCTGAACAACAACAAAAAATAAATGTAGATCAAGAATCTACCAGTTAACTTGATTTTAAAACAAAAGGTAGCATCTTTCTCCTAGACAGTTAAATTGTAGCATTATATAACAGTATACATATGTTTTGTAAGTTTCTATAGAATTGTCATAGGCTCTATACTTAAACAGATTTTAACTGTTTGAATTACTGCATAGATTACAATGATGATAGAAAGAGGTAATTTTTTATTTTATTATCAGACACAATGTTCTAAAGGGAGATCTGATACATGCAATGCTAAAGACCTGTAAAGACATGTCTCAATTCTTAAACTTAGATAGTATTTTATAGTTTAGTACAACCAATTGAAATACAGAAAATATTAACATGGTGTAATGAAATTCTGGAAAGGTAATCTACAAAAAGGGTAAGAATCTAAAGTATGGTTTATCACTTGTTTTTTTAAATAAGGAAACTAGGAATTGTTACTAGTTATGCATATCAACATTTTCATAAGCTATCATCATCATAAATATAGCCAAAAGAGAGAACCTAGCAACAGCCTAACCCACATGAGCATTAGTTTAGGAACCACAAAGCAGAATAGAAAATAATATCTACATCTGCAGAAGCAAGATCATGTCATAGAGCACAAATTTTGTACAGAAATTCATGCAGATAGACCAGGAAAGTGATGTGGAATTCCAAAAGAAATCCATTTTTTTTATATAGGAGGTGACAATTGAGATCTACCATATAGCTGAATAAAAGAAAAGAAAACAGAAAAGAAGGTATTACCGGATGTGGAGCGACTGAAATGGTCAAGAATCGAAAACCATGCAGTTCCTCAGGAGTTAGCTGAAGAAAGGCAGATGGAGGTGCTTGTTCAGTCTGGCTTCCTGGTTCAATCTGATGCATAAAAGAGGATCTTTCCACTGTAAGAGTGCCTCCTTAAATCATAAAAAAAAAAAGCCTAGAATTGCATTTATGGCATGATGCTCGGATAAAAATTGAATAAAAATAGAGATACCTGTCTGTCAATGAATAAAAACCAATAGTTTCTATGCAGATTGTACATGATGGAATTTCATCGGAGGATGATGCAGAATAGGTACCTGTCTTGGTGCAGGTCCTGCAGGAATGTGAACCATCTTTGATGTCACCTCAATGGTTCTCCTACTAACAGGCAGTTCACCTAATAATGATTTTTTCGACTTCTCAGGCCACAGGTGAAGTCTAACCCCAGAACAGGGAGCAAGATTTGTTACAAAGATGAAGTGTCCTCTACCATTTGAACCCTGAAAGCAGTTAAAACACTAATTAAGCAATACATATATATTACCTAAACATACAGTGAAGAAACCATCCAAAAGAGTCTTCAGTGACTTATTAGCAAGAACAGACAAATTAAATTGACCAAGTTAGATGGTTAACAGAATGCGATAGAGTGTGAGAGTAACATAAATAACGACAAGCATCAGCCACTGGGAAGCTTGCTCTATTGCCACTTTGACATCATGGTTTCAAGGAAACAGCCTTTCCCAACGTGGGGATAATACTGGGTTTGATTGAGTAAAAGATGAATTGCACAGAACTTATATTCTCAAGAGTAAATGATGAAACAAAAGATAAAATATTGCTTGCACACCTATGCAAATTATTCTTTAAGCATCCCATCAAGCATGAGACCAGCTAAGAAAGAGGAACACTAACTTCAAACCACACCCATGAGTAGAAAATATTGAAGCTGGGTGAAATTTACCAGTTTCTTAATGTCCAACCAACGCCTCTTCCCATCCATCGCTAAAACCGTAACAGTGGTTGATTCTATGTAGAGATCCTTCTCAAGGCCATCATCACTCCAGTGAACAGAGGGGGGGCATGAATATCGATCCTGCACTGGAGGATCTGCAAGCCCAATGCATATCTTTAGTTATAATACTTCATAGTTCATATCTATCACAATGGCTTCTGAAGTACAAGGTAAGAAGTGAGAACAACAATTTGGGGTCAGTCATAAAGATCTTTCCCAACCATTGAGAAAGTTACAAATAAGCATGAACAGAGAGATAGGCAACAAGCAACAGGCTCTTATTCTCAGTCCAAAAGCAATGAACAATAATATATTACTCATTTGCTTAAATGTTCTACCCCAAGAAATCTATCTTCCTACATATATCTATATCAATGTTCAGATTCTAGATGTACAATGGGAGTAATCATAAAAATCATCAAAGTTATCCTCCACCAATAGGAGTTGAATATAAATCAAACCGCTTAAATTCTAATGAAGGGTCACACAGACTTTTTATGCAG